TCCTCGTCCCAGCAGAGGGTGCGGGGCCCGTCCCTTGGAGCTCTGCGTGAGGGCGGGAAGGGCCGGGAAGGGGAAGGAGTCCCATGCTGAAAACCCCTGCGTCCTTCTGCCTCCGCAGCCCAGCCTTGCACGGGTTCCTCCCCCGGCGTGCATTTGACCGACTCTTCAAAACCCGGTTCCATCCCCCTCCTCTGCTGCCTGCAGCCTGGTGTCCCCTGCTGTGGCCCGTCCTGCCTTCTGTCACCGTCTCATTCCCCTGATCGACCCCAACGCTCCTTCGATGCGGGTCTCGGCCGGTCCTGGAGACCTGCCACTCTCAAAGTGTGGGCTCCGCGCCTGCCAGCTGGCTGGAAGTGACATTCTGGGTCTCCCCAGACCTGCTAAGTCGACACCCAGCAATGCGTGTCTTAATAAGCCCCTGGGTGCGGCTGGGGAGAGCTCCGGTCCCAGAGTCACCGCTCTGGTCTGCAGACCCGGCCACTCAAGCGGTGACCCCGGGACCAGTGGCCTCAGCCTCTCGCCTGGGAACTGCTTAGACATGCAGAATCCCACGCCCCGTCCCAGACCTACCGAGTCAGGATCCGCATTTTAACGAGATGTGCAGGGCAGCGTGTGCACAGGGAAGTGGGGGGGGGGTGCTGCCCTGTCCCAGGGGTGCCCCGCTGGAAGGGGAAGGAAGGGTCAGGGCGCTTCATACCCCTCCTCGAGAGGCCCGGTCCCCGACTATCTCAGGGGATCCCAGCCTTTACCACAAACGGCAGGTGCTGGAGGCCCATAGAGAGGTTCTGGAAGGTTATCCAAGAAGCAGATGGCACAGCCCTTCGTCTTAAGTAAGGCCAAGTGGACAAGTTGTGGCTCCGCCGAGGCGGTTGCCTCTGGATGTTGCACCCTGGCTGTCCACATTCCAGTGGTCCCTGAACGTGGGCCAGGGCTGTACTCAGCCCCTTACACCTGCCCAGGGGCTCAGCTCGCTTCACAGGGGCCACCCCTTGGGACAGACAGTCTCAATTGCCCCAGAGTTGCCATCCAAGCCAAGCAGAGCCTCCTGCTCCCTCGTCCTCTCTCCCGAAACCGAGTCCCTTTCAACCTCCCCCACGCATGCACGCGCCGCTCGAACTCGCTGGAGAGGAGTGGCAGGCGCTAGACCCTGGTCCCAGCAGTGGGACTGGGGCTGGGCTGGGCAGAGGCAGAGAGAAGAGAATATCGTGGGGTTTCCCCGACTCCTTGCTCACGGGCGCCCTTCGGTTCATTCCCACGCACCCTCGGCGCCTACTGTGTGCACGGCACGGCGCCTCCCTCGTGCCCTGGCTGGCCTCTCACATTAAAGGTTGTTAAAAATTTATCCAATATGAGTTTGATATTCAAATGCCAGCTTCTTCTGACAGGTTATAAATAGCTGCTTTGAGTCCAATTCGAGGTTTTGATTTAAAAGAAAAAAAAAAAAGTCAGCTATCAGCCATCCATCTGTGATTGAATCTGAGAGACTCTTCCGCCGCCCCCTCCCCCAACCCACCGTCAAAGACCATTACGATGTTCCTCGCTCCGAGAATACCGTGCACGGAGCTTTAATGTCCCCTGGGGAAGTGAGACCATGGGGTAGGGGGTTTAGGGGGGAGACGTATTTCCATCTCTGTTCCAATGCACTCAACCTAATTAAGATTTTATAAACACTCACCCGACAGGAAAACACACACTCACATTCGCAGGCACCTAAATTAGCAAGGCAAATAGAGTCTAGATTAAGTGGTTTTCTTGCCTGTTTCCGTCCAGCTTTAATTAGGTGTCTGTCAGGAGGAGGGTGTCACACGGGGGACTGTCTCATTCGGATGCTCTGGGTCTGGGTTATCGGGGTGCTGGAGCGCCGTCCCTGCCCCTGTTCCTGGGAGTCACAGCTCATCCCGGCTGAGCCTCTTCCCCGCCACCCTCGCCTCTTCCCCGCGCTTCGGGCCCTGGGAGGGAGGAGCGGGACCTCGTCTTGAGAGCAGCCCCATTTTGGTGGCCTCCCTGCAGCACCAGCTCCCCGGGAGACCTGAGCCTGTCAGAGCCCCACCTGTGGGACCGCCTGGTGGCCGTGGGGTCCTGCCAGCTGTTCCAGATGCCAGGCTCTGGGCACAGAAAGCACAGGCTCCCTGTGTTTCCCTCGCCCCCTGGCTTCCCCAAGTGCCGGCGGAGCAGCCCCTGCACCCCAAGGTGCTGTTCTGGGGGCTGCTCTGGGCCCTGCAATGTCCTCTCTCCTATCCCTACCACTGTGCTCTCCCCATGGAAGAAAATACAGGAGATAATTAGCTTTCTCCCTCTTTGCATGTCCTTGGGCTGTTTGGGGAAAGTACATTTTCCTCACATGTGTAGAAAATTAAATCTGTTGTGTTTTAGAGGAGCAAGGGTGGAGTGGCAGAAAAGTGTCACTTGCTCATTTGAGCAGACAGGGCTGTGGGGGGCCAGAGCGGGGGAAGCTCAGGTCTTCTGAAGTGGCTGGGAGGTACCAGCCGACCCAGACTGGGCCCAGCCTCTTGGCCCGGCCAGGAAGCAGACTCCTCCTTGGAGCAAGTCTTTGTTTCCTAGAACAAAGCAACAGCTATGCCTACCAAGGTGACTAAACAAAACTTTCCAAGACAGGCTGCAGGGCGTGCAGGAAGAACCAGGCTGACTGCAGAGGAAATGGGATGTGGTGACCTGTCACCATGAATTGGGCCCAGCAGTCTGCAGCACCTGTCCATCCTGAGGTCACCTCTGCACCATTCCTCTCCTCCCCTGGGGACCAGGGCTGGGTGGCCTGTGAGGGTGTATGTGATAGCCTGGAGCCTACAGTCCCATTGGAAAGATGATAAAACTGAGGCCTGGGCTGGGCGTGGTTAACCTAGCACTCTGGAGGGCCGAGGCAGGAGCATTGCTTGAGGCCAAGAATTCAAGATTAGCCTGAGCAAGAGCGAGACCCAGACTCTACTAAAAACACAAAACTTAGCCAGGTGTAGTGGCGCATGCCTACAGTCCCAGCTACTCGGGAGGCCAAGGCAGGAGGATTCTTTGAATCCAGGAGTTTGAAGTTGCTGTGAGCTAGGCTGCCACCACAGCACTCTAGCAACAGAGTGAGGCTCTGTCTCAAAAAACAAAAAAACCAAAACAAAACAAAAACAAATGAGGCCTGGGGAGACCATGAGGCCTGAGAGCTCACTGCTCCTTGCTCAAGACACTAGAGAACTCATTATTTAGCAGATGCCTCCACCCCAGAAGGATGAGGGTTCTGCTCTCGAGTCCGTGCGAAAGGACGCAGAAAGGCCGTGGTGCAGACGTGGGGAATAGCTGCTAGAGATTTGGTTTAATTCAACGATAACTTCCCAAATGCAAGTCTCCCGAGGTGGAGAAACAGGACAGGAACACGACCTGCCTTTGGGATGTTTATCGTCTGGAAGGAAGATGCTTCGCTATCAAAGCAGTGGTGGCCAGGCAGCAGGATGTAAGGCCACCATCAGCTCTAGGGAAACATGCAGACACATGGTGACCAGGCTGGCAGCCCGGGGCCTCCCCGCCCACCCCGCTCTGGCCGGCCGGCCGCAGACCCTGCTGGGAGACAGGCTGCCCACCTGTAAGCCCGGCCATCTTCTGGGGCCACCATTCTGTCCCCCACCCCGGGACAGCTGCAGCAACCAACAAAAGCAGCCGGGCCCTGGTGAATTAGCTGAAGTGACACTCACTTTGTATACACATGTTTACAATCAGGGCCAGATGGTGAAGTATTGGATTCGTTTCAACGCCGCTCCAGTGTGCCGAGCCGAGCCAGGCTTTGCACGTGGCACGAGAAAAACAGCGTGGGGGGGAGGGGCCACCCCTTCCTTGCACACCAAACCCGAATCCACTCTTGGTCCCAGGGGGGCCGTGTATGAGCCCTCGCTTAAAGGTAGCCTTCGCCTGCCAGCTGTCAGAACTTTCTATCAAATCTCCCGAAATTCCACAGGCAGAAGAAGAAAGAAACACCACCCGCTCTGATATCTGCCATAGTTTCTTTCCTTTTCCTCTTTTTGCATGAAAAATAAGTAAATAAATAAACGAAGCACACTTGATGGAAAGGAGCTTGCAAACCATCACCGGTGACGGCATTTGTGTTGCCAAATTATTTGTACTGTCAGGAGGAGAGGCCGGACTGAAGGCAGATCAAATGGAGTGACTGTTTACCCAACGAGGAGGACATCCTTAGGTGACATGACAGAGGAAAGGGAGGAGGGGAGGATGTCGGCAAAGTGCCGGAGACAGTGGCTGGAGTCTGTGTGCTTGCATCTGCACCCTCCCGAAAAGAAACTGTCGGGAGGGACCTCAAGGACGGCTGCACCCTGGAGCCTGAAGGAATGGGACTGCCCACCGCCCAGGGGACCCCACCGAGCCCAAGCGCGCAGCTGGCGGGCCAGGGAGGAAGAGGAGGAGGAGGGGGCTGAGAGGTGGCGATAGTGTCAGGGCGGCTAGTCCTTACCCCACTGCGACTTCACCTGAAAAACACCCCCTCCCGACCAAACCCACGATAACCAGATACAACAGAGAGAGAAGAAAGAAAAGAAAATGAAAATGAAAAAAAAAAAAAAGAAAGAAAGAAAGAAAGATCAGAGATAGGCCCTTGTCATCTCTAATGATGGGGATCATATGGTCTGAGTAGAAAGTAACAAAACTTTTCGGAAAGAACATTCCAGAACTCCTCTATCAGAATGAGGGCGTCCCATTCCAATTGTCCCTCTGGGAGGCTGCACATTTATTCCAGGGATGGAGCCATTACTAAAACACCTTGTTTTGAAATTCACCTTTTGAAACTCCCTTTAGAGTCAGTCCGTGAGAAACGTCTCAGCCAAATAGCCATCGCTTGGCTGTGGGCAGGAAGGAGGAGGAAGGGACGAGGCGCGGTGGCTGGCGCTAGAATTCTGAAACAGTTTGCACCAGAGGAGTTTCCAAACGGTGACCGACTGGACCCCACCCCCACCCACAAAACAAACCTGGTCCCAAAGAAGCAGCTTTCTTACCTTTGAGAATGTCCCACAGGATCTGCCTGGGCTTCTTGTTCCAGGTAATTCCAGAAGGTTGCTCCAGAAACGATTTCAGCTACAGCAGCGAATCTGAGCATCACAGAGTGGTCACTACGGGAGAGGAAGGAGATTGCCTTGTCTTGAAAGAGCATGAGACACACACACACGTGCAGCCGGGGCACATAGTCAGACGTGGGGCTGTTCATCCCCTTCCACTGAACTGGCCGTCTACGCAGCCTTGCAGGCAAACATGCGCCCACGCCCCAGGGGACTTCGGTTGTGGGAAGACAGGAGTCTGGCTCTGTTTTGGCCACTTGTCAATCCCCAGAGGCTGGAATGGTGCCCAGCACATAGCAGGTGCTCGGTAAATATTGACTGAATGACAGGACCAAGGACACACTATTGGGTGAGGTTTGAAGAAGGAATAGGTGAGTGTGGCAGCCAGCCTCTAGAACAATGCCGTGACCCCATCTCTCCCAGTACTCACGTCCCTGTGTCGTCCCCTCCCACGCTGTGCCAGGGCTGTCCCTGTGGCCAAGAGCATATGGCAGAAGTGATGGTATGTCCCTTCTGAGATTAGGTTACACAAATACAGCAGAGTGGGGGAGTCACCCATGTGGAGAGGAGCTGGGGCTTCCCGCAAACAGCCAGCAAGGAACGAGACCTCCTACCAGCCACCAATTACGTGTGCCTTCTGGGTGTGGCTCCAGCCCCAGTCGAGCCTTCAGGTGACTGCAGCCCTTGCAACCTCCTGCAAGACCTGCAACCACAACCATCCGGCCCAGCTGCTCCCAGACGACTGGCTCACAGAATAAACCAGGAGACAATAAATGCTGGTTGTTTTATGCCGCTACACTCTGGGACACTTTTGTTACGCAGCGTCTGATGACTAATACAGTGAGTGGATGGGGAAAACGCATGGGCTAGATATGTACCTCTGCACTCATCCACAAGGCTGTGTTTTACTCCAAACTCTGATTCTGTTTCTCAAACATGCGTTGGGGAAAAAATGGACAGTGTGGCTGGCAATTCCTACCCTGCAATAAGAATTACAGACTGCACAGGTTTCGGGAACCCAGCTGCTCTTTGTGCCCAACCCCAGGTCCCCTCTGAGATTTCTCCTTTGTATGAGGAGAGGTGGCTCCATTTCTTTTATGACATTTTTTTTTTTGGTCTTATTTTGTCATTTGACTTTCTAAGGTACTGCTCAGCCCCAGCATCTAGGACTGCACCTGGCTGTATTAGGGACTCAATAAATATTTACTGAATGAATGAATGAACAGCCTAGGCCTCCACTGAGGCTGTTTATGACAGCTAACCGGGGTGCATGGCCAGCCCTCCCCACTAGCCCTCTCCCAGGGGGCCCAGGCTAGGGTGGGAGGGAGGAAGAGGAGGCAGATGCACTCAGCATCACAGCTCGGCCCCTGAGCTGGGACTGAGACATAAAACGAGAGAACTACAGACTGAGAGGGAGGCTGGAGGCTTTGCCAGCTGCTATTATTTAGAAGACACAGCAACAAGTGGAGAGCGAGCTGGGTTTCATTACCGGATAAAGAAGCCAGATAATATAAGAAAGGGCTGGCTGGTGGGAAAAAGGAGCAGAGAGCCTTCTCCCTCTCCCCTCTGTCAGGCAAGAGTCAGTTAGGAGGTCCCAGAAAAGAGTTGCTCCTGCCTGGGACGAGAAGAGTCCAGACGGGCGTCTCTCAATTGCGCCCTGCAGAGAGTGACTACATCCCCGCCTTAGAAACAAGGAAGTCAACCTTCGGGCAGAGCCAGCTTCTGCCTCTGGCTGCAGCCACCGCCGGGCCCCTAAAGACAACTGCCTGAAGTCTCAGAATGCTCACTGGCCGCAGAGAGGGACACTTTTCTGGAGCCTTCCCCAGCAAGGCTGGGGAAGGGCACGTGCAGGGCATAAGCAGGGAGCCCCTGCCGCCCGCCGTGGGAGCCAGAGCAAAGGCAGGAGCCCTGCTGGCCTCAGATGAAGGCTCCTCAGACTGAGGGGCCTGGCCTGAGTGGAGGGAGGAACCAGGACTGATTCCTCAGAACACTGCCTGGCCTGATATGTGGCCCTCCTCACTCTGGAACACGGGCCATGGCCACGTAGAGGGTGGACCTACAAAGCCACAGGACCTCCCTGGACATCAGGACATTGCCACGAGGAATGGGTCTTCAGGTCTTCACTTTTTAATGTTTAACGATTTTGCAAATAAATATGAGGATACCCAGAAAAATCTGGATATCAGATAAATGGCAAATAGTTTGTTTAACATAAGTATATCCCAACTATCACGTGGGACATGCTTATACCAACAATTATTCATTGTTTGTCTGAAATTCACATTTAACTTGGCATCCTGTACTTTATTTGGCAATCCTCTGACAATTTCTCCTCGGCAGTGACCCTTCCCAGCCAGCCTCTCCTGTTTCCTACCACTGCAGGGAGGAGGGTAGGAAAGATAGTCGTTCGAGACCCAAGTCCATCTCCATGCCAGCCTTGAAGAGATGCAAAGACGGATGATGTGGCCCCAGTTATTACTGCTGCAGAATAAACCACCCCAAAATTTAGTGGCTTAAATCAATCGTTTTGCTATGCTCAATGATTCTGTGTAACTTGGACAGGGCACAGCAGGAATGACTTGTCTCTGCTCCACGATCTCTGGGGCTTCAGCTGGGAGGACCCCCAGCTGAAGGGGATATTCAACTCCTGGAGGCTGGAGTCACCTGGAAGCTACTTCATCACTTGTCTGGTGGTCGATGCTGACTGTGAGCCGGGACCTCAGCGGTCTCCCTGCAGGAGCACGTGCCTGTGGTCTCTTTGCGTGACCTGAGCTTCCCCATAGCATGGCTGCCTCTAGGTAGTTGAACTTCTTACTTGGGAGCTCAGGGCTCCAGTGGTGAGTGTCCCAGGAGCCCCAAGCAGAAGCTGTCTTGCCTTTTCTGACCGAGCCTCCAAAGTCCCGTGGTGTTGCTTCTGCCGCAGTCTATCGGTGCAAGAAGCAGTGGCAAGTCCACTAGGGTGCAGGGGAGGAGCACAGACCCGTGTTCTCCGTGGCAGGAGTGTCAAAGCATCTGTGACTTGTCTTGCAGCCACTGGAGGCGGAAGGAGAGCTAAGGAAGGAGCTCATGGCGAAGGGAGGAAGCTCACAGGGAGATGGTGGGGGTAGAAAATTTCCGATGACAACCAAGGAGCCCAAAGAGGGTAGCAGGGTGGAGCTGAGGCTCCGAGGAGTTGGGGGAATTCAGGAATAACGAGAGCCGGGGTTGGGGGGACCAGGAAGGGCTAGTGCTGAAGCCGCCAGGTCGGCAGGGACTGGGTTCCAGCAGCAGCCGGGGCTGAGGGGGAACAGCGTGGAGGGTGGGGAGCCGTCAGGAAGCACCCGGAAGGCTCGGCGACGCGATGGCTCACACCGCGCTCCATCAAACCCATCGTCTGCCGCTGAAATTGCGTTCGACTGACACCATCTGCATCGATCCCGCTCACAAACCCCCAGGCTCCCTTCTCCACTCCCACCCGTCTGCACACGCCCGTCTCTGCAGCCCCCTCTCCGCTGGAGAACAGAAACATCTGCCTGCCGTGAGCCGCCCTCCTCCCAGCCCGCCCAGCACGGGGCCGGCTGCCAGCGCAGGGCCGGGACTGCCTGCACACCTCGGAGCCGCCCCACTGCGAGGCCAGGGGGACGTGTGGTGACTTAGAGGGAGCAGAGAGTTTGGTCACAACAGAAGGGCAGGGAGCTGGGGGCACCGGGAGCTGGGCGGCTGCCGCATTGCACACTGGGCCCTCCCACTCCCACCCCTGCCCGAGGCAGCAGGTGCAACCTCCACCTGGGCAGCTCTGCCCAGGGACTGGACGCTCACGGGGATCCTCCTCCCCGGGCCCGGCCTCCAGGAAGCGGCAGGGCAGCCAGGCCCCGCTGCTGTTGTGGCGGGCGGCGCTGGCACCACCTGGAGAGCCTGCCTTTTGAAGCCTGAGTTAATTGGATATTACAGCGTCCTCTCCTGCCTGCCCCATCCTCAGTGAATGACCGAGAAGAGGAGGCAGGGGAGTGGCTGCGCACGGGAAGGGGGAGGTGAGCACAGTGGCGTCTTTGAGGAAAGTGATCGATGCTCGGCCTCCCCCACGCCTCCCCAAGCCGCCTCCAACAGCGCCCGGAACTCGGGGAGGGCGCAGAAAGGTTAGCTGCCTTTATTGCTGTCTGTATCATTACAAGAAAGGTGCGATCTCACCCACATGCCTACGTCGTCGTGTGTGCACATGCGTGTGTACGCATGCAGAAATCCACATACATTCACACCTGGCTACCCAGTGACCTGGGGCCTGTCACCTGCCCAGAGGACCAGTGTGCGGGGCCACAGACCTGCTGGCTTTGCTCCTGTTTGGTGCAGAATTGCCCCCCAGGGTCAGAGCTCCAGCAGAGCACCACTGCCGGCCATAGCGGCTCCTGTGTCTCCTGGTTTTTATATATACCTTCTCTCATCCTGTTTTAAAAAGGTTGGAGGCCAGGCGAGGTGGCTCACACCTGTAATCCTAGCACTCTGGGAGACCGACGCAGGCAGACTGCTCAAGGTCAGGAGTTCGAAACCAGCCTGAGCAAGAGCGAGAGCCCATCTCTACTATGAATAAAAAAGAAATTAATTGGCCAACTAATATATGTAGAAAAATTAGCCGGGCATGGTGGTGTGTGCCTGTAGTCCCAGCTACTCGGGAGGCTGAGGCAGGAGGTTTGAGGTTGCTGTGAGCTAGGCTGACGCCACGGCACTCACTCTAGCCTGGGCAACAAAGCGAGACTCTGCCTAAAAAAAAAAAAAAAAAAAGAGGGTTTGAGGAGCATTAGAGAGTGGCTTCCTCCCCTTCACCTTGCTAGGCCCATCATTTCAGGGAAAAGGATGCCTAGTCCCACTGACGCTGGTGAAACTGGCTAGTGTGGGAGTTTGACTTCTGGTCTCCGCCCTCTGCTCCCTGGGAGACTGTCACCCATCCACACCCTCGCCCCGGCCTGCGGGTGGACAGAGAGAATCCCCTGCCCCTCGACCTCAGGCTTGCCCCTACAGCCTGCTTGGGGGTGGCGTATAACAGTCGCAAAGTGAGCAACAGCTTGGAACAAGCATGCACGGCCCGCCTGGCCCTCTCAGGCTTGCGCCGCCCCAAGAAAAGAACATACCCTGGTACCTGCCGGTCCGAGGAGGAGCAGAGACTCCTGGAGCAGGATCTGATCCCAGCCCCAGCCTGGGGTCGGTGGGCGGAGCCACAGCGACCTGCACAGGATACCCCAGCACAGGGATGGAGGCTCCTTGGTGTGCACCCCCACGATCGTGCACACGACTCTCTGCCATGGCCATGACTAACTGACGCGGCGCACCTCACCGTGTATACAGAAATACATGCTAGATGTATTTAAAACTAAATGAAAAAAAAAGAGAAAAGAAAACAGGGCATAAATACATTTTTAAAAGACTCTCAAAGCTTAAAAGCAAGGGGATGTTATGAGGAAAAAAGACCAATGAGTTTAAATGCAGAACTACTAAACGACTCTATGTCATAAAGCACTATAAGCCAGTTGAAAGTGTAACGTAGCACCTGCCTGAGATCAGACTGGAGTGCTGGTCCCATTTCCCTAAGACACTCCAGCTCGCACCCACTGAAGGGATGTGTGCAGGAATTTGGGGCAGCACCCCTTGGCAGAGGGGCGGGAGGACATTTTTAAATAGGCGATGCCAAAAAGATGTCAGGAGAAAAGAAAACAGCTTCTTTCTAGAGGTCTAGGCTGGAGCAGAGAGAGGTGCACAGGCCCAAGGGAAGAGCAGGGGAAAGAAGTTCTCATCCAAGTTTAGGACACGTGAGCACCGCCCCCCCCCATGGAGTCTGACATGCAGGCCCAGCCCAGAGCTACGGCAAGGACACCATCCGTGCATCCAGGAGCTGTTTGACATGGAGCATTTCCCGAGGTGCCAAGCCCAGCAAAAGCTGTCCTGTGCGTGGGCAGGAACTGCCGTCGGCTTTTGCAGCGGAGCCCCGTGCGGCAGGGGCCCCGCCATGGTTCGACGGGCACCTGCAGAGCCAGTCCTCTGACCCTTCACACGACACACCGTCTGCCCTCCAGGAAAGATGCTTTCGCCAGGGGTCCCCTCTAAGGGGCCCCCTGGACACTAGGGGAGTGGATCAAGGAAGACCCTGCACCTGAACTTTGGGGCCAACTGGGGGACCCTGTAGTGCCTTGAACTGGGGACAGCGAGAAGCAGGCATCCTTGTTACGAAAACCAAATTGCAATACTGAAGGTCCTCATTAGTCAAGGAAAATTGGGATTAGAACAAAAGGCCACAAAGCAAATGCATTTAAAGGATAGAAAGAAATAAAGGCTTGATTGCAATGACTTTATATTTTCCTTTTAAAAAAACACACAGATTATGAAACAGTTTGTTTTAGCTTACACTTAACAAAACCAGGCTATTAATGCAACTCTTTTTTAATTCTTTGAATGAACAAAGAACAAGACGTTGATTTGGGGGCATAATTTTTCTGACAAGATTGTCTGATAGCGCCATACAACAGCCTTGATTTCGTGTTTGACTTTCGCAGCATAATCATAAAGAGGACGTTTTAGCAAAAAAAAAAAAAAAAAATATTTGAAGGCGTCATCAATTTTCCCAATGGCCTGTCTTAATCCTCTAAAATTCAAATCTCTCTCTCTCTTTTGAAGTGCCTGTCATTTCATCAGCCTTGTAGATTTTCTCTTCTGTAATTGTTAACTGGCTGAGGACTCTGCCGTCTCCTCATTTGCCAGGAGCCTGGCATGTGATCCGAGTAATTCTCCATAATCGCTTTGATCAACCTCGGGAAATTTTGCATCTTTTGCAAAATTTGAAATTGTCTTGCCTTATACTCCAGAGCGCTTGCAACATATGGCTAACAGGAACAGACGGACCCACAGACCCGATGATGAAGGGGGAGAAATACGCTAGTGTTAAACGCCAGGGCTGTGGGAGTAGGGACAGAGTTTGTAAAAACATCAGCCCGTGAGTGGATGTTTTTGTGCTATGGCAACTTTCATTTCCTATGCAACCTTATAACTTCGGGGATTCAGGCCGAGCAATGTGGAAAACAAGAACCCATGTATATGATCAAGGGACATTAACCACAATATGTAAAGAGCTCATACGAAGCAATAAGGAGAAAAAAAAAAAGGAAAGACACAAAAACCTTTTACAAAAAAACAAGAAAAGAAATGGAAGAGGCTACTAACCATAGGAAAAAATATTTAGCTTCACTGTAAGCAAAGAAATGCATCAGAAACCAATGTTTTGCCATCAAACGAATGTTTTTTAAATTGTAATTCTCGACGCTGCCAAGGTTATGAAGAACTGGGCCTTTCGTATACGCTGCCGGTTGGGTGTAAATTGGTACAGGCTTTCCAGAAAGGAAATGCAAAGCTATATCCAGCCTTAAAATTATTTCAGCTGCCTCGTACTTTTTTATAAAGTCCCCTGTTGGCTGGGCATATCCTCCCATCATTCTTAAAACGAACAAAGACTAAATCAAATGTTGATTTTTGAGGGCATAATTTTTCTGGGGAAAAAAAAAATCGTCTAGTGGCACAAAACAATATCCTTCACTTTGAGTGAAGTTAATTGCTTTTTCAGCTCTCTCTAAAGTTTGATCTCTCACTCAGAGGCCACTTTGCACAGGAAATAAAGATTTCCCCCTCTGGAGAGTGGCCCTGGATGGAGGCATGACGCTGAGCAGAGCTGCAATGAGGTCCCCTCGCCAAGCAGCTGGCAGCTCCTGCCCCAGCCTCGGAGCCCCTAACACACCTGCCCCGGGCTCCCTCCCCAGCAAGGTGAAACGACTGTAGGTCACAGGGCTGCACCTGCATGCCCAGGCATTGAGAAGCTGGGATGCTAAGTTCTCGCTGGCCAGGAGTTGACCAGCCTGCCTCCAGCGGTTATCTCTAGGTGACACGGTTAGGGAGTTTTAAAACTTTCTTCTTCAGTCTTTCTGTGGATTTATAAATTTCTACCATGAGCAAGCACCACATTTATAATCCTAAAAGGATTTTTTTAAAAGGAGACAAAAAGAGGGAACCGCATGAACAAAGCCCAGAAATAGAAGGGGGAGGAGGGGTGCAGAGAAAATGTCAGGACAATTCAGAGACTGGAAGCTTCAGTAGCAGGTGGGTTGGGTGGAATCAGACAGAGAGAGGGTCCAAAATTATCTGCATGGAAAGAGCATTTATTCCTGTCGGCAGTGAGGAGCCAGGCAGCCTACAAAGAAGGCCAGGCCATTGCAAGCGCAGTGGAGAAACAGAGGGGAAATAGAAAGTTCTCTGGAGAAATCATTGAGCTGCTTAATCAACCCTCAATTGAAGTATACCTCACCTCCGGACTTGTTCAGGCACATGCACCAATTAATTTCTTCTATGTTTTAAGCCACGTTGAGTCGAGTTTTCCATTAGTGGTAACAGAAAGCGTGCCAACTGGTAGAATTTCAAAAAGAATATGACTTGGAGTGAGTCATGGATGTGGACCCGCCACTTTCTGTCCCGGTTAAAACAGGACAAGCCCTTTCTAATTCGCCGAGCCTTGGTCTTCCTACTGATGGGATAGGAGGCTTATGCTCTCTCTCGTCAGCATAAGGATGAACATTTTCTGGGTATAATTAGGGTCTTGGATGAGCATGAGATTTGAATTTCACAAATCCCTCTCGCAGGCACAAGAGCAATTTCTCCGGCTTCGGGGCTAAATGGCATTTAATGGTCAGGTCTGCGGAGAAGCGTGCAGTGGGCAGTGCAGGGCTGGCTGCAAAGGGAAACCTCTCTCACGCTCAGATGTGCACAGGATGTGACGGATGTTGTTAAAATTCAGGATCTGGTTCAACAGGTCTGGGGTGGTGCCTAAGACCCTGCATTTCTAATACGCAACCAGGAGCTACAGGCAGGTCAGAACCACACCTCCCCCTGTGACTCCCTTCATCCACACGTCACCATGAAGGACTCAGCCTCCAGAGGCAGATTTCCGTCCCCACACTCTCCTTGCCAGCTGCGTGATCTTAGTGAATTACTTACCCTGTCTAAACCTTGGGCTCCCCACATGTAAACGTGGGACAATGACAACACTGACCTGCTAGGACTGTTGTGAGCACACAAACATATAAAAGACTTAGCATAGTGCCTGGCACATAGTACGTGCTCAGTAAATGGTAGCTATTTTCTTATTATTGTTGTGGCAATGTGTACAGCTAGTTATAGCTCTTGACCGGGGAAAGAACCTAGCGGCACACGAAGAGTTGGAGAACAGTCATTATTCTTCTACAGCAGGCTCAGCACACCTAGCGTTACAGCTCTCTTCCCATCTTCTGATCTCCTGCCCCTTCTGCCCTGTTCTCCTCCTGCTTTTATACCCTTGGTAGGGCTCAAAAAGCATCCAATCAACATTAAGCTTTAACATCCAATCAACAACAAGCTTTAACATCCAATCAAAAACAGTGGGATTCAAAAATTACCCAATCAGGATCACGCAAACAGCGTGGCTGTAATCTAGGCAGCAGCACATGGGCTCGGCCACATTTCGGCAAGCGCGGCCCCGGCAGCACATGGGGCCCCGGGCGGCTCTCTGCCTTGGGCCCAGCCCCCGCAGGTGCCCTCCAACTGGCCACGCACAGCACTGGCCTGCGGAGATGCGGAGCGACGGGGAGGGGGCAAGCGGCTATGTCCTGTCGCCCAACATTTTCCGTATCATTATGACCCAGCAAAAGCCTGTGTGGTCTAAGCTTTGAGCAACGTTACAAGAAAATGCCACTTTGGTAGCCAAGAATAAATGAAATGCAATTAAAAATCTCTCTCGGAACCTCTCAAAGAGCATCAAAGGTGATTCTGTTCATCGCCTGTAGCCAATTTCCTGCAACCTGACTCTCTCATTTCCACACCCCTCGTTTCTCCCACCACCTCCCTCTGCTTTGACAGTTTATGTGGCACATCCCTGTGGCTCCCCAGGCTTCCTTCTTTGTTGGGCTTTTGCTTTGCTTTGTTGGGGTGTGGAGGATGTTTATTTCTATCTCGCGCTGTTGCCTACGCCCCAGATTCTGTACAACCAGGAGGACCCAGGAGCCGGCCGGGTGTGTCACGTAGGTTTCTGCTGCTTGGATGTGCAGAAACTCAGTGCAGTCAAAAAAGGGAAATTTTAGGCCGACACACTCAAACCTCCAGGGATCAGTGGGACTGGTGTTGGGCAGACTGGGCTCAGGACCTAGCTCCTCTTCCTCTCCTTGTCTTCTGGCTCTGCCTCCCCTGAACTAGCATCATTTTCTATTAAGAAGCCCCAGCTCACAAACCCCACCCAGAGAAAGAGACAAAGAGAGAGACAGAATGCAAGCCTACTGTCCTCCAAGCACAACTCAAAAGGCTCAAGATTGAGGCTCATTGGCTCTGATTGGGCTATCTTAGGTCATGTGACCATCCCTGAACCAATCCAAGTGGCCAGAGGGCAGAAGCCTCTCATTGGCTTAGCCTAGGTCATGTGCTCCACCCAACATGGCGGGTGGAACCAGCTTGAGCAGAACTGCAAGCCTGGGAGTAGTGAGGGGTGCACCCCCTGTATGCGCACCAGGGTGTTGTTATCAGAGAAAGGAAAGTGGAGGTTGAGCAGTGAAAACCACACACACACACACACACACACACACACACACACACACATAATCCCTGCACTGGGGGGTCTTTCCTGCTTGGAAGCCGGGGAGGAGGTGTTGGCAAGCCCCTGCAGACTGTGGGGGTCTTATGTCCTCAAGCCGAGATGCCCCCACCATGCTAAGTATAGGGTCACTGATAGTCACCCAGTGTCCACATCTCGGAGTCTGGGGTACCTTGCATACATCCCAGAACACTGCAGTTCTTTCAACATGTCACTCCCTTGCTCTAAAACCTGCCATGGCTCCCGATGTCCATGTCACACTTCGGGCAAGACTGCATGCGGAGGGAGTGGACAGTGGCCTGGGAAGCTGGTCAGTGGACAGCAAAGAAGCAGAGCAATGGTCCAGCTCTGATAGCCTGCTGCCACGGCCCGACTTGGAAACATACATGTTCCTCAGACGTCCCCAGTAATCTCTGGCGTGGGGACCTATAACAGACTGGGCTACCTGGAGACCAGCAGGGGCTGGGACTCCAGTGTTATCTGGGAGGTGTGGGTGCCATATGCTAGGCCCTGTGTGGTTACATCGGCTTGTTAAAGGGCCCTGTGAGACGTTGGCCCACGGGTCCCCCTAATCCGTGCTCCCCGCCTCCTGAATCCCAGGATGCTTGGTGGAAACTGCTGAGAACACGCATCTGTGGACACAAGGAGCAACGTGGGGCTGTCACGCCCAGAACAGGTATCCTCTGGGCAGCTCAGTGGGACAACACAGATGGCTAAACACTTTTAACCAAGGCCACCAATTGCCACCACTTTGGTCACCTCCCTTCACCATATCCATTAACTGGGCAAAGTGGGACAGACGAACCAAGAAGTTGAGAGACCTGGGAGAGTACAGCCATTTGTTTAATGAGGTAATCGTGTCCCGTCCCTCCAGTGCTGTGCAATGAATAAATTTGCAATCAGCGTCTCAAGGGTGCAAGAAATGGTGCATGACTTTATTTTCTTCAAGTCAGATTCAATCTGACTCCAAGCCCCATCCCATGGGGATGGCGGGAAACACAATCTTGTTCAGTGTTAGGGCTCCCTCCCCGTCCCCTCCCTCCCCAGGGTCATGTGAAGGAGACAGCGATCCTTGCAAAGTCAAACTTTCGGGGAGCCTGCGGCCTGTGCTGGCTCTCCAGCACCTGTGCTAGGTTAAGGCTCGGGCTCTGCTGAGACGGGGGCCCCAGGGCCTGGCGTCCCACTCCCCACAATCCCCCCCACCCCACCCCAGGGCACCTCCAGGAAGCTAGCTGCAGAAGGAGGGGACACATCCTCCTTCCTGTTCTGGGAGATTCTCTCTTCTTTTGTGGTTCCTCACTCATCCCTGCACAGCCTTAGCCCTTCCGTCCGCACTCTGGGCCACCCAGCATCGTGTCCTCCTGAGCTGGGGCTCTCCGGGAGCCGGGAGGAGAGGGGTGCTCTTTGCACTGTCTGCTTTCGGCCTACACATGCCCCAGACAAGAAGCAGAAAGACTTTCCCTGGGCCGGAGCAGTGGAAAATACCAGGAACCAAGCCACAGAGGTGCGAGCAGCCTGACCCTTCCACTGCGATGAAAACAACACAGCAGTGAACTCTCAATGCATGATGCCGTCCTGTGCAGCTGGGGAAAGAAACAGATATTAGGAGGTTGTGGGCAGGGGAAATGAGGCCCCATCCTCAGGACTGGGCAAGGGAGGTGGCTGCTAAGGAGACCACAGGGGCGGCATGCCCAGGCTGGTGACGGCTGAGAAACGCCAGTGGAGTTTGGAAAGGCAGTGAGCAAAGGACCTGAGGCCCTGTCCCTGTCGTCTCATCTTCCTGGCCGAGACTTGCAGACTCAGCCTCCCCTAGGTCAAGAGTCCAAAAAAAATCGTCTAGTGGCACAAAACAATATCCTTCACTTTGAGTGAAGTTAATTGCTTTTTCAGCTCTCTCTAAAGTTTGATCTCTCACTCAGAGGCCACTTTGCACAGGAAATAAAGATTTCCCCCTCTGGAGAGTGGCCCTGGATGGAGGCATGACGCTGAGCAGAGCTGCAATGAGGTCCCCTCGCCAAGCAGCTGGCAGCTCCTGCCCCAGCCTCGGAGCCCCTAACACACCTGCCCCGGGCTCCCTCCCCAGCAAGGTGAAACGACTGTAGGTCACAGGGCTGCACCTGCATGCCCAGGCATTGAGAAGCTGGGATGCTAAGTTCTCGCTGGCCAGGAGTTGACCAGCCTGCCTCCAGCGGTTATCTCTAGGTGACACGGTTAGGGAGTTTTTAAACTTTCTTCTTCAGTCTTTCTGTGGATTTATAAATTTCTACCATGAGCAAGCACCACATTTATAATCCTAAAAGGATTTTTTTAAAAGGAGACAAAAAGAGGGAACCGCATGAACAAAGCCCAGAAATAGAAGGGGGAGGAGGGGTGCAGAGAAAATGTCAGGACAATTCAGAGACTGGAAGCTTCAGTAGCAGGTGGGTTGGGTGGAATCAGACAGAGAGAGGGTCCAAAATTATCTGCATGGAAAGAGCATTTATTCCTGTCGGCAGTGAGGAGCCAGGCAGCCTACAAAGAAGGCCAGGCCATTGCAAGCGCAGTGGAGAAACAGAGGGGAAAGAGAAAGTTCTCTGGAGAAATCATTGAGCTGCTTAATCAACCCTCAATTGAAGTATACCTCACCTCCGGACTTGCTCAGGCACATGCACCAATTAATTTCTTCTATGTTTTAAGCCACGTTGAGTCGAGTTTTCCATTAGTGGTAACAGAAAGCGTGCCAACTGGTAGAATTTCAAAAAGAATATGACTTGGAGTGAGTCATGGATGTGGACCCGCCACTTTCTG